TGACAGTTCGATGTCGCTTATCTCATGCACATGTATTCTATATATTAGAGTATATTCTCAAGTTCAACACAAAAGGTTCAGTTATATTTATTACTTTTAATCAAGAAATATAACTCTGTTATCGTTGCATTTAAAGTGATTAACATCTGTACTAAAAAATTACAGACTAAAAATTACTTATTTTCTAACATAAGCAGCACTAACTACGCAGTGGTCTTTCACTATTTACTAAAAAATTTGTTATCACCATTACTAATTTTATAAAAACTACTCGTTATGACTTCGATAATTTAAAGAGTAATGAATTGTTATAGAAAGCACTGAGTTGACATGGATCTGTCAAGATAATGATTTTCAAAACTTGATAAAAGCAATACCAACTCAGTACTTTCTATAATAATTCATTACTCTTTAAATTATCAGAATGATAACGAGTAGTTTTTATAGAATTAGTAATGGCGATAGCAAGTTTTTCAATAAACAATGAGTGACCACTTTGTAGCGCTATAATGTTAAAAGGTTAAAAATAATTTTTGGTCTGTAATTTTTAATACAGATATTAATCACTTTAAATGCAACGATAACAATAACAGAGTTATATTTCTTGGATAAGAATAATAAATACTAACTGAACCTTTTGTGTTAAACTTAAAAATATATATGCATGAGATACGCATCATCGAACTGTCAAGAAAACTTGAAAAGATCTTCAAAACTTGATGAAAACGTTACCAACTCAGTACTTTTTATAATAATTCATTATTATTTAAATTACCAGAGTGGTAACAAGTAGTTTTGGAGCAATGAATGAATGTGAACTTAAGACAATCTTAAATATAAGACCGGACTATGAATACGGTCCATTGGGACGAAACACAACGCACTTGTCCCTTGTATGGAACGATTTGATTGGTGAACTCGATTCTTCAATCAAAACGGTGTTACAAATATATGGATGTCACATATGTATCATTTAATTGAAACATTTAAATCAAACTTTAAATAATTATCTGAGTATTTTATAAATAATTAGACAAGTTTCAGATGACAAATATTAACTGATGCATATCTAAGTTAAAAAATGGATCTAAGTATCTCACATATAAAATCGCTTCGCTCTCATATGCACTTAAGGGGACGCTGAAGTCGCCAACGAACTTGCAAAGCGTCGATAACGTAGAGGCGATCGTCAAAAAGTAGGGAACGTTATCATCTGTTATCGACGTTAGTGAATTTTGGTACACACATATACTCTGTATACACATATGTGTATACAGAGAAAGAGAGAGAGAGTGTATGAGAGAGAGTGAGAAGGAGAGAGATTGAGAGGGAGAGAGAGAGAGAAAGAGAGAGAGAGAGAGAGAGAGAGAGAGAGAGAGAGAGAGAGAGAGAGAGAGAGAGAGAGAGAGAGAGAGAGAGAGAGAGAGAGAGAGAGAGTGATAATAGTAAGAGAGAGAGAGTGTGTATGTAAGAGAGAGAGTGAGTATGAGAGAGAGATTTTGTAAGAGAGAATGTGTGAGAGAAAGAGTGTGAGAGAGAGAGTGTGAAATATAGGGAGTGTCACAAAGAGAGAGTGTGAGAGAGGAAGAGTGTGAGAGAGATAGAGTGAGAGAGAGAGAGAGAGAGAGAGAGAATGTGAGGGAGAGAGAGTGAGAGAGAGAGAGAGAGAGAGAGAGAGAGTGAGAGAGAAAGAGAAAAACAGAGAAAAAAAGACATACAGAGAGAGAGAGAGAGAGAGAGAGAGAGAGAGAGAGAGAGAGAGAGAGAGAGAGAGAGAGAGAGACAGAGAGAGAGAGGGAGGGAGGGAGAGGGAGGGAGAGGGAGGGAGAGAGAGGGAGAGAGAGAGTGAGAGAGAGAGAGAGGAGAGTATGAAAGGGAGAAGTGTGTGACAGAGAGGAGAGTGGGAGAGAGAAATGAGAGTGGTAGGGAGATGAGTGTAAGAGAGAGAGGGAGAGAAAGAGGGAGAGAGAGAATATGAGAGAGAGATTGTGTGAGAGAAAGTGTGTGAGAGAGAAAGAGTGTGAGAGAGGGAGAGAATGTGAGAGATAGAGAGTGTGAGAGAGGGAGAGTGTGAGTGAGAGAGAGTGTAAGAGGGGGGACAGTGTGAGGAATAGAGTATGAAGTAGGGAGTAAGAGAGGGAGTTTGAGGGAGAGTGTGTGAGAGAGAGAATGTGAGAGAGAGAAAGAGAGAGAGAATGAGATGGAGGAAGAGAGTGAGAGAGTAAGAGAAAGTGTGAGAGAGAGAATATGCAATAAAATGTTGGGGGTTCCATTCAAAAAAATAAGGTTGACCTTGAAATGATCTTGAAGGACATGGTCAAGGTCAAAGTCAAGGTCATCATCTTACTTCCCGCTTGAAACCATACAACTTTGCTATTGGATATTTTCTCCAAAATGCATTCTAATTGAAGATATTAGGGGGGTCCGATACTTTTCGATGACCCTCCTGGTGAAAATTTTTTAATGAAAATTTATGACTTTATCTAAAAAGCGGAATTTTCATAGAAAGTACGAAATTTTTTGTGACAAAATCCGATTTCTTCTTTTTTTTCAGTAAAATTCTGAAAATATTCAAAAAATTGTGAAATTCTATTTCAATGTAATAGACCTGATTTAATCATTTCATTTTGTATAAAAATCAGAGATTTTCGTAATAATTGAAATTATATTTCAGACATTATAAGAAATAATAATTTTTATGATAAAATTCTACTTTTTTTGAAAATGTAACATGTCTTCTCTGATTTTATCTTTTTTATATAATAATGAAGACCGTTCAATGTTAGTTATGTTTCCAATACTTTTTCAGAAAAAGTCATATTTCCAACACTTTTTCGAAAAATGTAGGAATAATACAAACATTTTTTGTCATAGTAATTTCTCCTATAAAATCTGATTTTCAATGAATTTCAAATGTTAGAAAATACTAAGTTACCATATTAATTTTCACGTAAAATGGAAGCAATAGTTAAAATAAATACTAAAAAACAATCGTAAAATATCGTCTTTTTAGAAATTATATAAATTTCCTGTTAAATAAAATCGAAAATATAATCAATACTCATTTCGAAATTTAAAAAAAATTTTAATTTTAGTTTCCTGCATGAATATGTACTAGTGAGTAAAATGTTAGCAATATGCTACCAGATTGATAACAATTTGTTATTAGCATTCCACAGCAAAACAACAGCCATCCGCATTAAGCTTATGTCCTGTTGGCAGAACCTGCTGACATGATTCGATGGTAGATTAGCGACAGAAACAGAGTAGAACACATGAAATTGAGAAAAAAAATTCTCTATCACTTTGCAAAGTACTTATAAAATTAATAATAATTGAAAATAACAATGTTTAGAGATTTCTGTAATTAATAACTGGAAAATTTGCATATTTAAAAAATGGTTAAAGAACTGTTTTGTTCAGAAAGACTAAATTAACAAATATTAAATAACTATCGTATTTAGCGACAGATAAAGTGATATTGAACTTTGAATCTTGGACTTTGAGCCTGTTAGTAGATACGACAGTTATCAAATATTTGCACATTAAGTCATTCTGAACAAAACAGTTCTTAAATATTTTGTAAACAACATGAAAATGTTTAAGTTATTAAATAAAGAAACCTGTGAACATTGCCATTTTTAAAAATTAATAACTCAAAATTTTATCTGTAATTTTGCAAAATAGTAGAGGACATTTTGTTCAGTTTGATAAGTTCAACATGCACATGAAAGGATATGCGAATGTTTTGCGAACATCCAATATTTCGAAATAAATTTATATCGTATTTTATAAATTGTGTTTGTATTTAAAATACAAATCTTATTTATTACTAATGTTTTCTATAATATTACAAAGAATATATAACATGTAATATGTTAACATTTTTACTGGAGATTATTTATTTCATGCAATTAATAAATGAACAAAACAGTTGGAGTCTATATAAATAAGCAACTTTATTTTTACGGAGATGCATGAAATAATTTCACTATAGATGCACAAAATGTGGACGTGTTGCCTGTTTAAGAAACTGTTTTTTACATGCTGAGTGACCCGCAATGTGTCAAAGGATTATATGTACAGTACACCTAGACAGCGCATATTTGCAAAGGGCGTTTTAATGATATGCAAAAGATGTCCACAAGACATTATATGTTCTAAAATATCCCTTGGAAATTTGTGCTATTTGGATATTATTTAATCACCGAAACAACCTTGTGGAATAGTACATATATAGTGCATATTATCGATGTTTATTAAAATTGTCCTAATAAAGAGTGAGGATTAATAGCTCGTAGAGGACATTTATTAATCAAGCACTTTCGTATATGTGTTATCGTAACATCATTTGTCAAAATAAAAGGATTAGGATCTAATATTATTTCTTTGATGAAAATTATAATTTTGATTTCTTTATTATGCTTATAGCTGCAAATATTGGTAATTATACCAAAAGAATTATTTTCAATTTCAACGACACAATCGTTTGTTTTTTTTGCTTTAGTATAACGTTCTGTCGTAAAACGAATGTTATTATATATCATTTTCGTATATGATTTACAATTGACTACTCTATATTGAAAACATTGTGCTTCTTGTGGGCTAAGTATATATTCTTCCCCGGAACCAATTAAAGTATAACGTTGCGTATTAGAAATAAATTTCAATTTCCTTTTGTATGTATTATTACAAAAATTTTGCACTTCGTTACAAATTTTAACATTTCTAGACAATTTTATAAGAGATTGTTCCAATAGGAACCTGTGTGAAATTTGCAATGCAATATGTGTAGGAGATTTTTTCATTTGCACCAATAATCTATTTTCATTTTCAAACGGAAATGTATTTATTGCCCATAACGGTCCCCAATTTTCTATGCTGCTTGAAAGATGTAGTAAGAGATGGACATTGTACGTCATTGCACGTTTTCCAAAATACTGTTGAAATAAAATAACAAATTTTTTTAGCAGTAAATTTGCTTTTCGTATCATGTCGATTGAAATGGATTTTTGTAAAAAAATATGAATTGCACAGACTAACTGTGCAAGATGTGCTACTTATTTTTTTGGTAATATACCATATAAACATACTAAAGAATACCACATCAGCCATGATCTCCATTCAGAAGCTTTCCATAATGACCATTCATGTAAACTTCTCGGTTGACGTGTTATATTCTTTGGTGGTCTTATATGCAACAATCGATTATTAATGATTTCAAACATATTTGGCTGTCCCACATAAAATTTTTTCCCGGGGTAAGAGAAATACATTTCCGTTAATTGTTTAGTAACTCCTAACAATACTGAATGCATGTAATCAGGAACCATTCCATTAACTAAATCGAAATATTTTAAACTCATTAATGGAGAAGGTCCTTTCGCACCTTTTATGGGAATTGAAGTTGCATGTGCAGTAATCATATTTTGCTTTATAGATGCATTAGTTCTATTAGGAAAAATATTTGTTGAAACTGGATACTTTCGATAACCCTCTACATATTCGGTTGGATGTTCACAAAATGTGCAACCATAATGACCATTAAACTGTTTCATATTCAACATGGCTGGTCGAGCAACTGAATCTACATAACAACATACTGGTATAATACGGCTTGTAATTATAGTATTTTTATCATATTGCCACTGTAAACCATAAGTAGATAAAAAATTTACTTCCTTTACAAAGGGTTGTAAAAATATTTGCATATTTGGTTCACGTTTATTGACCCATATACCAAGTAACATCATGTATTTTGATCTCATTTTATAAGGTAATTCGTTTAATGTAGCATAAATAGGCCAAATACTAACTTTATTAGAATTACCAGCTTGACAACCATCTGTATTGAAAGTATAAGAAAAATTCCACATATTATTTAAAGGTTTGTTGCGTTTACATAATTTTTTATACATTGCACCATCGCAGATATCTTGTAGAGAACCATTATTTCTTCCACGATATCTGCTCTTTAGACTTTTTTTAACGTTTGTATTCTCTAACAAACTTTTCAATTGAGCATGAAAATTCAAAGTAATAAAAGCATTAGTACTCGATTCTTCAATTTCTGAACCACACGTGCAAATACTTTTTTTTCCCGTTTCTATTCTAGTTAGCATTTTTAAATATTTTAAACAAACAGGGCAGTATAAATGATATTTAAAAGTATCCTCTATTTCACAATATTTCGATACTTTATACTTACTATCGGGAAGCATACATTTTTTATCAAAAATTAAATTAATCATTTTTAAAATATCAATAGTTGTAGTCATAGTTAAAGAATGACGATGGCTTAATACTAGACACATGAATAGCGCTTCTCCAAGCGTTTTCGTTATGCAGTTACACAGATATTCTTTGAGAAATGAATTACATTCATCGATAAATTTGCCATTAAAGTCTCCAAAGCAGTCCTGCAAAAACATTAACATTACAAAAATAGTACTTTCATTGTTATTATTTATTATGCTTAAAATAAACATGTTGTTTAATACTTTTATTAAAATATTTTAATTAAACTTTGTGAACAGATAATATAGAATTGTAATATATAATGTTTGTATAACAATATAGTATACATATACATACACACAATATATATAATTTATTTCACTTTACAAGCAAACTTTATTATTTTAGGCACAAAGAAATATTTCACACATAATATGTTACATACTTTTTAAAGTTAACGTCACACGAAAATGTTTCCAACAGAATTGCGTGGATTCAAAAAGGGTATATGATTCTATAACCTATAGTCGGATCGTGTATTAAAGACTATCTCAAGTTTATCTTCAGATTCTCCATAGCCAATGAAACGATTTGTACAGTATTTGAACAAAAAACTGAAGATGGTCTTGGAAATAAATAAATATGGATTGTGAATATGCCAATAATTCTATTCTGCTTTTCCCTAAAAAAAATGTAGCTATGTATGTGTGAACATTATCTTCAGTTCTATTAATGGAAATATGAAAAGTTTGTATGCATGTCATTTTCTCTCATTTTTTGATTTTTTGGTATCATTTCTACAGCAAAGTTTTACAGTAACATCATTTCAAAGTGGATAAATGATTTACTTACATAGTTTTGCAATGTTTTTGAAGGTTCTTCATTGTTATTTCTTAATATAGTATTTTCAATAATGCTACTGCTGTCTGTCTCACTTAATGTTTCATTTATTGAACTTGTTGCTAATTCAGGGAAATAGAAATTAATATAATGATCATCTTCATCCTCATTGTTATTATTATCACTCCATTCGCTATTCATTGCAATATTATCTTGCATTTTTGGTGTTCTATGTTCCAAGTCTAATCTTGATTGGAATATGTCACAGCTCACAGAACTATTCGCATCTGATCTGAAATCCTGATTTAAATAATTTAAATAGATTCAGAATGTTAGATTATTTAAGCCAGATAGCAAAACCTGCACAAGCAGATTCTGAACACAGTTTGCTACAAATATTTTATGGCAGAAAGGCAATATACACAATTCATAATTTAATATTTCATTACATGATGTTCAACTGCCACCAGAAATCTGATAAAAACTGCTAACATATTATGCTACCACATTAACGACAGAAACCAAACATATTCTGTAGTAATCTGACAGATTGGCGCTAGAAATTAAACAGACTGTTACACGCAGTGAGATCTACTTGTTTTATACTATCACTTTGCTGTAAAATAATGTCTGCAAACTCTGCCGGCAGAATACAAACAGAATGGAGATACAGTTTATGTCAATCAGCTGTAATGCTCTAATTGAATTTGCCCTCAGTCTGCCAGTATACTGCTTGCATTTTGCTATCTGGGTCTGTTATCCTATAATAATATGTAGAAATATATATTCCTTACATATCTTTCAACATCATTATGTGACGAGATACTACAATGAGGTACATTATTTTCCGTAACATGTTCTGCTTCTTGATAAATGTTATTTTTAGTTGTTTCCAATTCATGATACTCATTAGAAGAAAGTTGTTTACATTACTGTAAAATGTGTCAAGCAAAAAATAAAAACTGTATATCCAATTTCTTAACCTCCGGTTAAACTTAACGGTCGATTAAGAATAACCGGTAGTTAAGTTGAACCGAAGGTGAAGAAATTGGGCATAAACAATTAATATTAATGTAGAGAGAGAGAGAAAAAGAGAGAGAGAGAGAGAGAGAGAGGGAGAGAGAAAAAGAGATTTCTTACCTCCAGTTTTCTTTTATATTTTGTGACTCGTGGAATTATCTCTGTACTGTCGTCCAAATATTGTTTATATTTACGTTTAAACATTTTATTAACTGAAATCTTTAAACGTAGTATTTCTGCACAGCGCAATACTGATGAAGCATCTGCTCATATGATGTGAGATATAAGAGTGAGGGTAAAGCGGGAGGTACACACTATTGCAAAAATGTATAATGCACAACACATTACGAAATAAACCAATCAGAGTCTTTCACTTTCATCGTGGTAATAGAAATGAGAGCTCTGATTGGTCTATTTTCTTGTGCGTTGGTCTGTATGCAAGAGTGTGTGCTTCCCGGCGGGAAGTTCCCGCTTTACTTTGGCAACGATCACATCGTCATTTTATCCTTGTTTAACATGCAGTAATAAACAAAGATAAAATGATGCCTCAATTGTTGCATTCATAAAGTGCAACGCACCCTTCTCGTACAATGCAAATACAGAAGAAAATTAATTTATCGCATATTTAATATATCCTTTTCCAACACTGACTGTAATTAATTTGATGGTTTATTTTATGTAAATGCGATATATAACGATAATAAAAATTTTTTGGGATATTAGCCCTTAACGCGCTTGTCGTGCAACAAGAAGCAACGCAGTAGCCAATCATGTTACAACTTTGAAAACTGAGACATTGATTGGTTCCCGAATTAGAATAACACGAGCACGTCTTTATGTAGGAGTCATATCGCGACTTGCAAAGATGTGTGTTAAACAGTGGGAATTTATTACGGTTGTAAATATTGTATCACAAATTGAGTAAAAGATTGATATCAGCCATGGAATTTGCTTATGTATTTGTGCACTCGGTGAAAAAGTATTTAAGTGTACCAATTACTGACCTCCGAAACCTCAGTATTGAAAAATATGAAGCTGATTTCAAAAGAAAAGAAAGAATATATCGTTTGATATTGGAAAATGGTAAAAAGGTTAACTGCCAAGTTCTGTGTATTGCAGGTAAGTATGTACGTAGATGTAAAACTTATATGTGTACGAGGGTGGTCCGATAAGTACTTAGCCTACAAAAGAAAAACGAAAATTTTGGAAAAGTGGCGATTTATTTCTCAACATAGTCTCCTTTTAGCTCGATACACTTGACCCAGCGATGCTCCAACTTCTTTAACCCGTCTGAAAAATACGTTTTCTCGAGGTCTGCAAAGTAGGCCTCCGTGGCGGCGATGACCTCCTCATTCGACTCAAATTTCTGCCCGGCGAGTGACTTTTTCAAGTTTGGAAACAAAAAGAAGTCGCACGGGGCCAAATCTGGAGAATACGGTGGATGGGGCAGCAGTTCGTAGCCCAATTCAACCAATTTGACCGTGGCGAGGGCGGAGGTGTGAGCCGGTGCGTTGTCATGGTGGAAGAGCACTTTTTTCTTCGCCAAATGGGGCCGTTTTTTCTGCAATTCGGCGTCGAATCGGCCCAATAATTCGGCATAGTACAGCCCTGTGACCGTTTTGCCCTTTTCCAGGTAGTCAATGTAGATCACACCTTGTGAATCCCAGAAAACGGTGGCCATCACCTTTCCGGCCGATAGAACAGTCTTCGCCTTCTTCGGAGCACGTTCGCCGGGTGAAGTCCACTGTTTCGACTGTTCCTTGGTCTCTGGTGTGTACCAGTGGATCCATGTTTCGTCGACGGTCACGAAACGACGCAGAAACTCCTTCGGATTGCGCTTAAACAGCGTCAAACACTGCTCTGAAGTGGTCTCACGGTTGCGCTTGTTGTCCGGAGTGAGCAAACGCGGCACCCATCGCGCCGACAGTTTTCTCATGCCCAAAATTTCTTGCAGGATATTACCCACGCGGTCTTTTGAGATGCCTACTGTCTCAGCTATCTCGCGCACCTTCAATCGGCGGTCTGCCAATACGAGATCGTGGATTTTTGTCATGTTATCCTTCGTGGTAGTCGTTTCCGGGGCACTTGGGCGTGGCTCATCAAAAACCGATGTGCGACCACGTTGAAACTCGTTAAACCAATTTTTGACGGTCGCCATCGAAGGAGAAGAGTCACCGTACATAGCAACCAAGCGCTCTTTGATTTCGCTGCGCGATTTCCCTTCCAAAAACAAGAATCGAATCACCGACCGATATTGCTCTTTTTCCATTTTTCTAAAATCCGCGGACACGCCCGCTTCCACACGCGGTCAAAACAAAACTACGAGTCCGATTCGGCTGAAATTTCGACAGTAGCCGTCTACGAGAATGTACTACACAATAGTAAATTTATCTTGCGATAGTGGCGCCATCGGGCGGTGAGGCTAAGTACTTATCGGACCGCCCTCATATATATATATGTATATATATATATATATAGGATATATATAAATATATGGGATAGAATAAGTTTAGCATAAGCTTTATCTAATTACGTGCCTGAACAGCGTTTTGCTCATATTTCTTATTTCAGTTCTTATCAGATGTTTCGATTTTGTCAGGCACAACTTCTTCTGATTCGTTTTCAGTTACAAAAATTTTAAGTTTTTAAATATTCCTATTCTTCCCCTTTTTTTGTTTATTAAATGCATAGAATAAAGAAGCATCAAGCACGTCAAGATTTTTTTACTTTTTTATGTAATTAATAACATGAAAGTTTTAATTTTTCTCTGTCAATGATTTGAAAGGCTTTTTATATTTGTTTTAATATTCTCTTTACCATCTCTCAATTTTTGTTTTTCTATTCTTTATACCAGATCTTCCATTTTTAACTGTATATTCTCTCATGATGTATAATGGAAGATCAGGCGGATCTTTATCTGAAGATGACATTATCTGAAGAGAATGTTTTTTATAAATATGATTTTTTAAGTAAAGAAAGAGAGAGAGAGAGAGGAGAAAAGAAACATCAAAGTAAATTTTAATAACATTTTATGTACATACTGTGACGTGGCAGCCGCGGAGGCGCCCGTCACAAGATAGCGAGCCCTATACCGCGAGACGGGGGGGGAAGAGGTCCTAAGGGTTGCGCGAATTGCAAAGGACCCTCCCCCGAAATTGTAATTAGCCCTTATTATTAGTGGTAAGCGCGCAGGTATGACGGTCCCGCGTCCCCGAGCTTTGTGCCCCTGGACCTCCTGCGCAGACCATCAAGACCGGAGGAGCCAGGAGGAAGAAGAGGACGTCATCCATCGCTAGGACAGCCACCTCAGCTCCTCCTTATCTTTCTTACTATCGACTCCCGTATCGCCTCAAAAGATTCTCGCTGCCGTTTTCGTTATCCACAGGCCCGTAGAAATATCAAGCGAATATATCGTCGCTCCCGTGCTCGAAGCGTGACCGCGTGCGTGACAAAGCCGGCCTAGGTGCACAAAGACAGCGGGAGCGCGAGAGAGAGAGAGAGAGAGAGAGAGAGAGCGCGCAAGAGTGAGACCGAGCATCCGTCCCGCGGATCGAAAACAAAGATCCGCGGAAGGATTCCCGTATTGGGAGAGAAAACGAGGAACGGGGAAAGAAGAGCCTCGAGTCAAAACCAAGGAGAAACAAGGAAGAAAGGAGAAAAACTGTTTTTGGAGGAAATAAAAGAGCGAACTACCGTTTTCTCTCTCTCTTACATCGTCAGTCTGCTGTCGACTATTACGGATCGTTATCGCTTCTACTACTATCGTTATCGCATATCACTGAGAAAAAAGTTTTCGTCTACCGTTATCGAGAGCTAAAGTTTTGTGCCACACTCGCCCAGGATTACCGTTGGTGGCTGCGTTGCGTAGGAGCGAGCGGAGGAAGGAGGTCGAAGGACCACGCCGCCGGGAGGTTCCCGACTGTCTAAGATCGTCCACCTGTTTTTCTCTTCCGGTGTCCCGTGCGTACCGTGTCTCGGACTATTTGTGAGCGCAGAGCAAGTCTCGAATTCGCGAGAGCACATAGCGAGGTGTATCGTATCGAGGGATCGGGCCGTACCGATTCCCGTGAGAATAAAAGTGAGATAATCCAAACGCGCAGTGCTACTCTTGTATTTTCCCGATAACTTCCCGGATTCCCGATCGAACCCTCCTGTCTACCGACTCAAAATATCGAGGAGCTGCCGGTCCCGTCGGATTCGCGTGTCTCGGCCATTTGGTGGTTTTTCGTTTCGTGTTGGTGATCGGTGTAGTCCGCTGCACCTGGCGCCCAACAACTTTGGTGCGAGTGCGAGCGGCCGGGGCGCGTGGGCGGACGGTAATTTGCCGACGGCGAAAGGAAATCACGTCGCAATACCCTGTCGCAAGCACGTAATTATTGGGTGAGTGCAAAAGTTCATGCGGAGTTTGTGAGTAAAAGTCACACAGTGATTAGGCAAACAAAAATCTTTATTCAATCAATGATATATTCTCCATCGTTTTCTATAATCTTTTTTCAACGTTCTGGCAGCATACGGATGCCTCGATCATAAAAACTGCGCGGTTTAGATTCGAAGAACGAAGAGACGCCGTTTTTTAAGGCCTCCAAAGAGTCAAAGTTTTTTCCATTTAAATAATTTTGCAATGACCGGAACAAGTGATAGTCAGATGGTGCGATATCAGGAGAATACGGTGGATGCGTTAAGACATCCCATTTCAGGCTCTTCAGTTTGCGCAGCGTCTTTTTCGAAACGTGTGGTCTGGCGTTGTCGTGATGAAAGACGACTCCCTTGATTTGACAAAATCGGACGTTTCTCTTTTATTTCTCGATTCAGATTGGTTAATTGGCGACAGTACTTGTCCGAATCAATCGTTTCGCCAGCGGGGAGAAGCTCGAAATAGATTTATGCCCTTGCAATCCCACCAAACAGAGAGCATCACCTTCATCGGGTGCAAACTGGCCTTTGGCATTGCGTCACCATGCTCACCTAATTGTTTCCATGTCCGTTTGCGCTGAACATTGTTGTAGAGGACCCATTTCTCATCGCCCGTCACTAGTCGATCCAAAAACGACTCGTTATTGAGCCGCCCGAGTAAAGAAACGGCTGCAGAAATTCGCTTGATTTCGTTCTTCTCGGTCAGCAAATGGGGCACCCATATATCGAGCTTCAAATCGAATCCCATCTTTTTTAAACGCCGAAAAGCGGTTGATTGGTCA